GTCCCTTCAGGTTCGTTGCCAGGTACACTGCTTTCTGCTCCTTTGTCCATCCATTCATTTCTGCCAGGAGCTCAAATTGTACTCTATACGCTTCCCATGGTGCCTTCCCATCGAATTCCTGTGGTTTCCTTCGTACTAGACCACCCCTATTGCTGACACTCATGTCTGGGATGTGACTTCTAACAGGACTGAAGATATCTACATTAGTTTTTAGCTGCGAGGTCTGGAAGAGGCTTCCCGTTGTCTGAGGCTGATTAGGTCGATGTCTAATATATCCTCCTTGTGTAAAAGACATTAAATCATCCTTTAATGTATTTAATTCACTTTAAAATTTACTAATGTTTTCCATTTGTACTTCTTGCCACTGTTGTTGACTTTTTTGTAACTGTTGGGGACTTTGTTCCTGTTTCCTTTCTTGTTTTAGTTGCCACTGCTGTTATATTTTATTTTGTTTATTTTGATGTTCGAGCTGCCACTGTTGCAGCTTTTCTTGCCACTGCTGTTGGCTCTTTTCTTGTTTCTTTTCTTTTTCTTCCAACAACTGCTGTAATCTCTCTTCTTGTTTGTTTTCTCGTTCTTCTTGTTTATTTTCTCGTTCATCTTGTTTCTGTTCTTGTTTGTTTTCTCGTTCTTCTTGTTTCTGTTCTTGTTTGTTTTCTCGTTCTTCTTGTTTATTTTCTCGTTCATCTTGTTTCTGTTCTTGTTTATTTTCTCGTTCTTCTTGTTTCTTTTGCTGTTCTTGTATTGCTGCCATCAAATCTGCTAAGCTGTAGTTTGATTTGCCAATTCTCGTTTCCATTTTTTTCTTTTCCATCCCATTTCTGACACCAATTTGTTACGTCTCTGTTCGTTTGTTAATTTCCCGTTAAAATTATTTCCAAAGAACTTCAGCGATACAAGTCCTTTCTTAAATAAAACTAGTTTATTCTTTCTCAATACAACTTTGCAGTACACTTAATTTCCACAGACACTTTAACTTAAACACACACGCTTTAATTCACTATGATTCACGCACTTTACTTACGACTTGACTCGATTATCTGTCTCCCTCTCTGTCTGCTATCTAATTAATTATCTTGCTTTATTTGCCACGCTTATATGCAAGAATAGAGGGCGTCTAGAATGCACTCGCCTCTTCATGAACCTTCTAGACATTTATCACGTGTCACCAGCGTCACGTGACCTCCGCTGTCGTAACAATAAATTGATAGAAATAGTACAACTCTTAGGTTAAAAGACAGTGAACTACAAGAGTTTGTCAAAACAACAACAAGAACTATAGAAACAAGAGTGTAGACAGAGAAGAGATAAAGAAAGAAAAAGAAAAAGAAAGACTAAAAGAAGAAAAGGAAATAGAGAGTATGAGAAGACAAATTGAGAGAGAAGAAAACGAGAGAAAGAATAAGAGCACAAATTGAAAAAGAGGAAGATGAGAGACTGCAAATAGAGAAAATAAGCTCGTGGATTGAGAAAAAAGAAAAAGAGAGAGAAGAGAGACTAGAAACAGAGAGAATAAGAGCACAAACTGAGATAGCAAAACTCACCCATATGATAGGAAAAGGATCTAAGAATGACAATGGAGTCAGGGCTAGCTGACCCAAGCTGCCTAAACTTGATGAACATAAAAATGACATGGATGCTTTCCTAAAGAGATACGAAAGATTCGCCCAAAGTCAGAACCGGGACAAAGGCGACTTGTCAAATTCAATACAAGAAAACATGATTGATCAGTGCACTACTACTGGTCGGCTCAAGTTAGCAAACAGATCAACAGTGCCAATAGAGATGGGAGCATGTGACAAATATCAAGAGGTGCCAACAAATCATAATATGCTAATATGTGAAGGCTATGCTGGAGACAAGAAAGTGAAGATTCTACGAGACACTGGGTGCAGTATTGCAGCAGTTATAACCAGTCTAGTATCTGATGATCAGATGACAGGCAAAGTATGCTTGTGTGTGTTAATTGATGGGACAGCCAACAAAACAGTCAGTTTTATATTTCTTGATGTTGTGACTTATCTTTTTTGCAAGAAACTTGGCTAATTGCCAACTAGCAAACCATATCCTAGACAGAGCTAGCAAGAAGCAAAGTTAAAA